AAGAAATTAGTATCGATTTCCCTTTGTTATCTTCATTTTACTTACGTTTTGTCACGAGGGGTGGTAGCGCCACGCATTTTCGTTAGAGCCTGTTTAGTCTCATCGATCGCGTGGGTGACATGGCGTAACACGGGTGGCTTCTCATCTAAAATATTTATATTTGGAATTATAATAAATACAAATTATGACCTTTCTTTAAAGCTTCCGATTGTACTAACCTTCGAAGAGAGATGCGCAGCGATCATTGTTGGCGTCAAGTAAGAAATTTCCGCTCACTTCATTTGGATCCTGAATCTCCTCGTCTTCATCCTCCTCTTCCTCTTCGGAGCCGACTGAGAAATTGCCACTCACTTCATTTGGCGGATCCTCATCTTCCTCATCTTCATCATCGATCTCCTCCTCATCATCTTCTTCATCCTCGTTGTCCTCCTCAGACTCGTTATCCTCCTCGTGTCCACAACTATCAGCGTCAGACTCGGGAATGTCATCCTTTAAAAAATAAAAATAAAAAATTAGAACAAAACAAAATGGTTACATACAATAAAAGCGTATACATGGTATGTACATATGTTTGTGTAAGCGGAAAACAGTGGAAATTGTTCAAGAAAAAGGAAGTCCACGAATAAAAAACAAAAAATAATAATAAAAAATTATAGTAAGTATGTATTTTTGTATGCATGTACAAAAGTATGTAACGAAAAATGCAGGCAAAAATCATTCTCTCTTTGGCGCAAAAGTTAATCGGGGTTGTAAGTAGTAGACGCACGCATTCTTGTGTCTTTGGCCACCCATTTGGGAATCTTCTAGAATTACTCGGGTTAATGCCCACTGTTAATAAGATATAATGACGCATTGTTGTTAGTTGCACTATCGTCTTTTTTTTATAAACGAACGAAAAGTGAGCATTAAAGCTGCCATTCTCAAAATATGTTTTTACATAATTATATAAATGTTAATAAAATGTTTTATTTGTAAGTACTAATAAAAACCTATTAATATGCCTAGGCAATTTAGTTATTAAGCTTTGTTATTCATTACTAAATTGGCGCAATAAAATCTTTTTCTAATCAGAAATTTCGTCCATTTTTGGTGGCAGAGATTTTTTAGGTTAAAAAATGCAAATAACGCGAAACTTACCAGAAGATCTGGCCTTAGACACAAGCATGCCAAAAGGATCTATAAAAGAAGAACGAAAGAAAAAAATAAAATCAAAAGAAACAAACGTTTGGATAGATGGATGATGCAGCTCTGTCGTGGTTATAGCGTTTTCAAAATGATTGCAGCATAATACTTCAGGAGTGAGAGCATATAAAGTCAATGATCTGTGAACATAATTTTTAAAGGTCAAGTGAAGGAAATTGAAATGCCCAAACAGAGGAATAGAAAAATTCAAATAGGAAACGGAAGTATTGATGATACATATTACAGTAGCACAGTTAAACGTCGAAAATATAAGTTCTCTTCCACCTAAACCAGTCACAAAGATTCTTAATTTTACCACATTCTTGAACTAAACAATTAAATTAGTTTTTAGAATGTATGAAGGTAAATACGTGTGAATATCTTAGGTATTTAAATTTATTTATGTAGTTATATGAGAAAAACACTCAAGGTAAAAAAGCGTATGTAGGTTCAATAACTCCCACAATACAAACGGGCTTGCCGTTCATCCCTCCTGTTCTATGCTTGTCCCTTTATTCGGGCCACCATTTTGCACCATGCATGTGCACATGTTTGTGCGGTCTTTGTGTGATCAACGAGACGAATTTGCTTCCCCGAATGTAGCCATCAGCTACGGTCGTATCAAAACGTACACTGTAAAAATCTGCACGATTTCGTGAAATAACGTGACCAACCCAAACATATTGCAAAGCCGACGATAACAATGACGACACGGACTGCGGCGACGACGACGTCGTCAGTTAATGACAACAAGCAAAAACGACATCCATTGACTACAGCTGCAAAGCCGACGGCACACATATCATGGAGTGAAATGGATTGAAAATGGAATGGATGAGTTGTGCACCGATTATTGGTTCATGCTTCTCGCACTTGTTTCTTTGTCAATTTATGTTTTAATTTGTGCTTCCTCAGGGTTCTTTACTTCATCATTTACTAGTCGCTTCGCATGTCGCTTCGTGCATATATTTGACATTCCGCTTTCATTTACATTTCTCAAAGTGAATTTTACACACTCTGCTACCTTGCTCCAAGCCAAAAATTAAAGAAAATATACAAAATAAACTCGCTTGTCCATTAACTCGTTTTCTTTCGGACATTCGTTTATTTGGGGGTTCGTTGGTCTGTCTGCGGCGGCTGATGGCTGACAGCTTGTTCCTTGGCCATTGTCATATGGTTTGAGAATTTAAAGAAATGCATGAATCATCGACAATTGAGGCGCAGCTCAACGATTCTACTGTTTCCTTAACTTAATTCATTCAAAACTTTATTCTTGGTACATAAATTTTGTACTTGTGAGCAAAGTTCAGACATCTTGTTCGCTTTCGTAAAACGCAATTATGATATGCTTTATTTCTACACATAGCCACACCACTAATAGAGTACATTTGTATTTATGTGTCTACATAAATACACACAATTAAATATGTATAGCAGTTGTAGCTGATAGTTTGCACGTTTTTCTGGTGTTTAACCTTCAAACAAAAGAAAAAATCAATTTCCAAAGAAATTTCACTTCAGCGTCGTTGACACCTTTCGAACTAGCGCATATGAAGTGCATCTACTGAGCTTTCTGCAGCTAGTGTTCGATTTTTAAACTGACATAGTATGTATGTACATATGTATTTACTGAAATTTAGTGCAGAGTTGACGGTTAAAAAATTTAAGTTTCATCAAATGGTCAAGCAATTCTGGAGTCCAAAAGGGTGAAATTACTTTAGAAATATCACATTTTTTAAATTTGAAAATCTCAAAGCACAGTAGCCTCTTAAAAAGGCTGTTGCTATAGTTAAGAAGACAATAAAAAAGCTTAAGTGCACTAGTTCCGTAACAAATAATTAATAAATTACTTGAGTGGCCAAAGATTTAAAAAACAGAAAAAAAAATTGGCTGGGTTTTCCAATAAGGGCTTGGACAACTTTAATATTCTATTTTGAACGCACCCTTAAAGCATTCAAAACCGAGAAAAATTTGTGTCCTCGCACATAGTAACTACAGATGCATTGCCAATAGATTTTTATTCTCGGAACGGATGTTCCCAATCAAAGCGAAATGTGGTACCAGCAGCTGTAAAGTGAGTACTTTATCTGTTAGGAGATCACTGACGGTAAGCTACTTCTTAACCATTATATTGTTCACAGTCACATTTTCAACTAGAGAGATTCGCAAATAAAGCAACAGCCTACTAAATTTCTTAAAGGACACGAATTACTCAAAATACATTATTTCCAAAGTAATAATTTGTTGAACTGGCAATGCTAGTGCTAATGTTAGTTTTAGGCTTAGTCGTTTTTTTGCTTTATTTTATTCTTGTGCCTTATAATTGTTGTTGTGCTATAAAATAACTATAGCATTTGTTTAATAAATGAAATTAAATGAAACATTTATGAAAAGCATAAACGTCAATGAACAGAGTTTATGTAAAAAAAAAAATATTTTTTTTTTTGGTATAATGGAATAAACTTATTTACGAATAACGAAAACTCAAATTTATTTACTGGTCATTTGTCTTTCTAATAAATTTTTCTAAACCCTGGTGCAAGTTTTAAGTAGAATTAACTATATTTTCATAAAAAAATATCATATTCCAGTGACTCCGGTGGAAAAAGTCTTATGAGGAGATAAGGTGATTTCCGAAATAGCACCTATAACTTCTACCTTTGTGTAAATTATGGTTGTTTTCTACACAATTTTTTCATTAAAAACGGCCACAAGCTCAATAAAACTTTTCTTCTCGGGTGGTGTGCATAGCATGAGCCACGTTCCTTCACCAACCAAGTCCACCAAACATTTTTCCAAATCGAGCAAACAAACAATAAAAGTGCAGTATAATGACCGACCATCCAACACGAAGTCGAAAGTCATATATGTATGTATAAGCAAAAACAAAAACAGTAAAAATCAACACCATAACCGAGTAATCACTTCTTTTGTTCGTGCAATCGGAATTTGTTCAGTAAAAACAAAGGGAAAGAGAGGAAACTAAATTTGAGCAACGTGTTTTTTTTGGCTTGCAAGAATAATAGCAAAGCAGACAAGGCGATAGTGCTGCTGTGTAACTACGACATTATGAGAATGTCTAAATATGTATATTAGTATTTTTGTATTATGCATTCTCAATTTATGAATTTCTGCTCCACAGTCTAGAGGTGATAGTTAATACTGCAAATCCACACATATGTATGTATATACATAGCATGTATGTATGTATGCTCTGAAATAAAATAACAACAGAAATGTCGTCGACGACGGAACTACGACGGTGGGTTTCTGAATTCCGATCTGGCGACAGCAAAGATGATGACGACAGCAAAAACAACAAAAAAATACATTGCGGGAATTTCGCATCGAAATGGCAATCGACAGCAACATACATACATATGTACATATGCACATGCATACATACCATAAATATTTATGAAGATAATGGCAAGGTAACGATAACACCAATAAAAACAACAGAATTAAGAACAACATTACATTGAGGTCGATGACTATGGTAAACCTGGAGTGCGCTTACCACAAACCATCGTTCCTGTAGACAGACAAGTCTGTATTCACGATGTGGGTATTCTATTATTCTTGGTCTGCATTACGGGAGAGATAAAGACATATTTCTAGCCAGAGACAACAGCAACAAAACCCCGCTTAATTTAGATTCATTTAAAAGTTTGCCACCGCTCTTCTCATTATCCTTTGTAAAGCTGGAAAACCATCGATGGCACTATCGATAGTATCGATGTTTTC